CTTTTTTTTTCCTGCTCTGTAATCCATCCTCCTCCTCCTCCTCCTCCTCCTCCTCCTCCTCGCTGCTGCTGCTGCTGTTAACAAACCGATTTACCCTCCGGGTTCACTGGAAACAAACCGCCAGGAACAGGTGGAGAAAAATGAGATGTTGAATCTACCGCAGGCTGAGGGAAGAATAAAAAAACTTTAAGGGGGATTTAAATCTCAAATACGTTTTCAGAAAGGCTGCGGATCGTGTTCCAGGTCACAGACGGAGGTTTAGGGCGACAAAAAGTCAACTCGGAGGACAAAATACGGCATTAGAGCCATATAGTGGTGTTCAGAGAGAGTATCTGAGACGCTGAATGATTTAGAAGTGCAGACTGGTGTATATACATACATATAGAGGGACATACCTGTTGTATTTATGCAGCTTTAAGAAGGGAAATAAAACGTGCAAATTGAATTTTAAGTGGATAAAGAAGTGTGCATCTTACATTTTAGGTTTTAAATAACATTTCGTAGAAATCCGTTGTCATCATAGACAGAGGAGTGAAGCAGTGATGACATTTGATCTGGTATTTATGTGGAAATACCGATTAAAGCAGCTTTAAAGGGGAAATGAAGTCTGCACACCAGCTGTTAGGTGGTTAAAAACGTTTAATTCTACATTTTTAATTGACACGACTTCTGTTTTAACTTTGACATGAACGAGTCTTTTAGTAAATTCTGCTCAGAGACGCCAAATTAAATCAGAATTTAACGTTGAGAAGTGACAAAAAGTTAAGAATTCAGTCTGAGTTCAGCATTAAAGCTGAGATGAAGTGAGTGAAGTGGGTTTTAGGCGGTGAAAGAAGTGAACGTTTTCTATTTTTAATTGGTTTTACTCTGCAGAAATATATTTTCACTTTGACATGAACAAATCTTTTTGTAAAAAAACGGAATATTTGAGATATTTAATACATTTAGAAGTGCAGACGAGTACATAGAGATGAAATACAGCATGCACACTGGGGTTTAGTGGTACATGTAATATTTTTAATTTACATTTAGTACAAATCTGTTTTCACTTTGACATGAAGGAGTCAATTTTTAAATTCTTGTCTATAAAAAAAAGGAGAATATTTGAGATGTTTAATGCATTTAGAAGTGCATATTGGCAGGTGAGCGTCTTTATTTATGTGCAAACTCCGACTGTTTCCCCCTAAAAGCTGCACTAAAGTGTGTAAAGCTGGTTTTAGGCAGTGAAAGAAGTGGACATTTTCTACATTTTATATTTTGTAATTGATATTACTTGTATTAGAAAAAAAAATCACTTTGACATCAAAGAGTCTTTTTGTTAAAAAAAAAAATAAAAATCCAAAGAGGACAATATTTGAGATGTTTAATGCATTTAGAAGTGCACATTAGCAGGTGAGCGTCTTTATTTATGTGCAAACTCCAACTGTTTCCCCCTAAAAGCTGCATTAAAGTGCATCAGGCTGGTTTCCGGCGGTGGACGTGTGCCTTTAACCTGCGTGTGATCCTGAACGTCGGAGCTTGTAGCCTTCAGACGGACAGCGAGGATCCGACAAAACGTCCGCTGCTCTGAAACTCTAATTGGTCCTCACAGAAGCTACAAGAACACAGCTTCTGTCCTGCTGACCCCCGGCGCTCTCTTGTTTCCTATTAGTTTTAATTGACTCCGTCTCCCTTCATGCCTCGCCCCTCTGACAGCTGCAGATCGCCGCGGTGACGGCGGCGGCGGCGTCCGTCGGGGGCCGAGGGGAGCAGGAAGCCGGAGGTGGATGGAAGGTGACTGTCAGGACGGCTGACCTCGCCGTGCTCCGGACATGACAGCGAGGACGGCTGAGTGTCAGCTTAAGCGTCCAGCTGTCATGTCTGTCACGGCCGGCGATGCAGCGAGTCGTGTTTCCTGAGCCCAGCCGTCCGGCCTTTATTTATTATTTTATCTCCTTCGGCTGTGCAAAGAGAGCGAGTGAAGGACATCGCCTTTCATCCCGGGTTCAACTTTTCTTTCCTCTCCTTTTCCCCTCAGAGCGGCTCGTGAAGGTTTTACAGGCAGAAAGATGAGCCCAGAAGTTTACGTCTCACTCCACCGTCGCAGCGTTTAAAGGGCCCGTTTCCACGCAAACGGATCAAAACCTACTTTAAAGGTTCAGTGAGCTTCTCAATTATTCATTCAGCTGCTTGGTGAACCAGGACGTGGTTGAAGTTCTCACCACAGAAACCTGTGGGTTCCTGCTCCAGCTCCACCTTCTGGATGCTTCTCTGCAACATGAAGTCCTGCAGCTCAACACAACCAGAACATGGAGAGAGAACTCAGAGACGTCGTCTACCAGAAGAAAACTGACTCGTGTCCAACATGTTTCCAGAAACATGGAGGCTCCTCCTACTGGAGATATTTAACCATTTATGGTTTTCTGGACAAACTTTTGGTTGTTTTACGTCTCGGTTCTCTTTCCTGTGTCCTGGTGGTCGCTTTAGATCCTCACGTCCTGGTTTTTGGGACTTCTAATCTCTCTTTGGGACAGACTTGTTGTCATTTTATCTCCAAGTTTTCATCGTCCTGTCATTTTGTGCCTCATTCTTCTCGTTTGTGTTGTTTCCTTCCTCTTTGGGACACTTTTGTTGTATTTCGATGGTTTTGTGACTCTGGGACGATTTTGTCTCCTCATACCGTCGATGAGATTTACATTTGGACAGACTGTTCTGATGTTGTGTCGCTTTAAGACAGTTTTTCATCATCTTTAAAATCTCCGTGTCTCCAGATGTTTCCTCTCTGCTCTGCTCATCAGCTGTGGAAAGATGTTCCACCATCAGATGTAGAAAGATGTTCCA